TCTTTTTCAAAAAAAGAACATTCTATAAACTCAAAATTTAAAAGTTCTTTCAATGATAAAATTTATTTTTGTGTTTTTGAACTTGAAAATTTTGACATTTTTTTCACAATATTTCTATGTACATACTTATGTACACTGAATTTTAATATATAAGCTAATTAACTACACAATTTAAATATTTTTCAAATATTTTAAGAATATTTTTAATATTTTATTTAATTATTTAAAATATAATTGTCCCTTTTCTTCATTCTTCAAAATTTTTACTAATTACATACATTGTATTCGACTCTTTCCATCATCTTTTTTTTTAGGTGACATTGTTATTTTGTATTGCGTTTCGAACTTCAAAGACATTTTTTTATGTACGAATATTATAAAAATGTTAAAGGTTATAAAAAATTAAAATAAAAGAAAAAAAATTTAGCAAAATTTTAGTTAAAACAAAAATTTATAACGTAATGCTTTTTTTCTTGTGATTTGATACTAACAAATTGTAGTTCAACGTTAAATAAAAATTAATTTATTAAAATGTCGAAAAAAAAAAAACAAAAACCGAAAAATTAAAATCAAAAAGTTTGCAATTTTTTTCAAGAGTTATTGATTTTACAAACCGTTATTTAACTTAGACATAATATTTTAATCATCTGTGATTTGATAATGACTAAGACATTTCAGAAATTTCAATATTTTTGCCTTATTATGAGGGTTTTTATGTTAACACACACACATACGATATACATGCTTAATATGTATAGTTAGCAATTATGTTATAAAGTCCATGAATTTGTTTGCTTTAAAGTCATTTAAAAACTAGAGCATTCATATTTCATATACATTTTTTTTTAAAAGATAAGGTAAAATAATTGTATGCTTAATAAATATATGTAAATAAATATTTACATATATGTGGGCATGTATAAAAATATAAAGTGAATAGCGCGCGTATCACATAGATCATATTTGAAAAAAAAGGGAGGGTTATCTACAGAATTAAAATAGTTTGTATAGCTAATCATTTTGTTACTTAAAAGATTAGTTCACTTAAGTAACAAAGCTCTCAAATTTACTTTCATTTTCAATAATTGCCGACAGCCGCGAAAGTTGTAATAATTAATTAAATGGTACTCGTATACCTTACATATTCAACCGCATTTCATAATTATATTATGTATACAGGTATATACTTACATATTAAAATTTTTACCTAAAAAACAATAAAAGCAAAAAAAATTCGTAATAATGAATAATTGGAACACCATAATATGTGTTCAATGAGTCGCCTCATACTTAATACAAATTGGATTAATGTAGGTTATGGTTGACACTTAATTAAAAATAAAAACATGATTTCAAAATTAATTTTTTTCTTCTTCATCTCCGCCTACATATACTCGCATGTAGTTAAAAAATGTGAAATTTTGAGGAAAAAAGTTTAAGAGAAACGATTTATTTTTCATTTCGATAAAAATCCTATAAATCCCTGGTATTTAAACCGATATATATATTTATGTGTATATAGCAAGACAATTAATTAGGCATTTTTTATATGTTATCCATTTTATTACCTTTTTTATAAGTACTACAATTTTATTTCTTTTTTTTTTTTTTATTCGAATAAAATCTACAAGGTGAAAGTTCATTAAATTCTGTGAAAGAAATTTTTAATAGTTTAATATTTTTATACTAATAATTATTACACTTTTTATATACATATATATACATATGTGTATATTTGAATATATATGGCAAGTTCATGAACTATTCTTTCATTTTCAATATCGTCTTTTAATCACAACTTCTACTAATAATAAATTTATTTATAACTAAATGTGTTCGCATACAATTTACAAAATATTTTACGTTTTTAAGGCTTATAGTGCAATAGAATATAAATTTTAAATTGAGTGACATAAATAAGACATTGAAATAATCAAAATATAAATGTTTTTATACTCAATTAAATATTCATTTTTGGCGCTTTACTTAACACTCACTAAATTATTATGGCGCATATGTATGTAGGTAATGAAATTAAAACCGGAATTATATTGTATTTCTTTTGTTCTTTTATTTCATGAAATTATAAAATAGTGACGATTATATTTTAGTTGTTAGTTATACATAGACTATTATACAAAATTTATACGTCATTAAAACAGGTTTATTAATGAAAGACTTTAGACTTTCTAATTATTGGAGAAAATCAAATAAATTTCTGAATTATGTTAATTTTTCAATTAAATGTTTTGTTATACATATGTATGTATGTAATGTATTTATAAATCAATCTGATTATAGATTGATTTTATTAATTTTAAAAATAAAAATATAAAAATTTCACAGATAAAAATATATATGTGCGTATGGATATACATACATATATATATAAAATTATAATTATGATATTGAAATAATAAATTTTATATTATATACACACATTTAAAATAAGATATAAATAATATGTATACGTATATGTATGTATGTAGAATGTGCATATCGATATCAAAAACGTCTTATCGTCAACGGTCATATATTTTAAGTTAAGACGTTATCATAATTTTTTTTTAAATTTTTGAATGTACATACTTAATATACATGCACATGAACAAAACATAACATAATAAAACGAACGTAAAAAAATATATTTAATTTTAACTTAGCAACAAAACTACATTCGAAGACCTTCAGTTCTACAATACATTTTTATATTTTATACCTGGGGTGCTATTATAATATACATATATATATACATATATATAATATATATTACACAAATACATATACAAAATATTTTTCATATGAACATAACGTAAACATAATTATTATGAAAAAAAAAAAAGCAAATAATTGCAATGAGTATGGAAGTGTGCCAAAACTATAAAAATACACCTACATTCATGTAGGTCCGTATAGTAAAATCAAAATATCTAGTATATTTATAGGTTTTTTATAAATGTATAGGTACCTATACTTACTGCATTATTTCATTAAAATATCACAATTAGTAAGGACAATTACTAGATTTTTATTTAAATAATAATTTTATTAAGAATTATAAAATGAAAATCGTTTATTTTTTTAAATTAATTTAATTCCATTGTTAAATAATTTTCATTTGTATAAGTAATATATTAAAAATGTAAATTACTAAAAGCGAGTATAAAAGTTGTTTAAATACATTTGTAAATATAAATGTGTGATAAATAGGAAGTATCAGTTTTTTTTTGTTCGATAAAATTCTCACTATTCACATTATTATTATTGCTCTGTAATTGCTTTTAAATATAATGTGAATGCATACATATATAATATATTGTGATATATACACCCAACTCTTTCTAATTAGTTAAATATAAAATATAAATTGAGAATGATCTCACATTTCTAATAAATATTGAAAATTTGTAGTTCACATGAAATTAATATTATTAGTTAACTCTCTCGTGCTCAATATTAAAAAAAAAAAATATTCTCCTAAATAATTTAACTCATTAAAATATAAATATCACTCTATAATATAGCGATACTAAAATAATGAACAACAGTACCAGGTACTATCATGTCACTATTAATACAATATTTTTTGTATTATTAAAAGCAATACAATAATATAATATTGCTGTACATTTCAAATTACACCACATTTATACGTGCATTTATTAAAATATAATAATTATTCTCTTTCTAATGAACAAATAGATCAGCTGATCTAAAAAAGAGAGTGATAGTATGTAAAATTTTCAGAAAAAAAAGCTTATTAAATTATGATTTTCTTTTACTTATAATTATAATTCTCTATATGCACGTATTATACTTATTATGGTGATTATAAAAATATATATATGTTACTGTAAGTTCATATATAGCTTAGTTTAATATTTAATATAGTAGTAGATTAATAGTATAAAAATTTTTAAATGGCAATGAGAGAAAAATTTAATTATTATAAAAGTTACTTGTATTATATTTTGTGGGTATGCATATTAAATTTTTTTTTAACTAACTTTACTTTTTTAAATTACAATAATAACATGGTTATTATAGCTATAAGTATTTATTAAAAAAAAAAAAACAGTCTATTGACAATGAAAATATGCAATTATGCAGTAGTTTATAAATTCAATTTTCATATAACATTTTTAATACTATAGAATTTACTGTAAATAGATAATTTTATTTATTACAAACTTCAAAACAAATGAGGCCAGGCCACCTAAATGTCTATTAAAAAAGAAAAAAAAATTTAATTAAAATTTTTTTTTTAATTTTGCTTTAGTGCAATTAATATAATAAAAAAAACAAACACAACAAAAAATAATGAAATATGTATTACAAGTTTAAAGCTTAACTTTGACATGCTTCTATTATACGTATACATTCATTTGAATTCAGTATTCAATGCATATATGTAAATATGTGTGTATATGAACAATGTACTTACTATATAACAATATCTATCTTAAACAGGGTTTTTCTTTTATACAAAGCTAGATAAAAAAAAATATAACAACGATAGAGGTTTTTTTTCTATACCCAACTATACATACTTTTTTTTTATGACTAATGTGACTAATTAAATGATTTGTTAACATGAATTCAACACATGATATTTCAATTCGAAATCAATTATATGTACAATAATTATTGTAACGCAGGATTACTCATATATATAATGTATATTTAAGATATTTGATGATGATATAAGTTTGTAAATAATATTATTAAAAATAGTGATCAAAGGAAATTCCATGAATTAATTGTTAGTAAACATTTAATTTTTTTTTAATGTTATATCGTATTTATTTTTCTGTACTATGAACAAATAAATAATTATTGTCGATTATTTAAAAAAATTTAGTGTTATACTCAAACAATTTCAAAAATTAGAAATGTGTATTTTATTTTTTAATATTTCATATTTAAATTATTTTTATATTTATTAAATTATAAAAAAAAAATAATATTAATAATTTTCCTTTTATTTCTTCTATTTTTAGGATGCATTAGCTCATTTACAAGATAAAAGTGGTTTTAAACGTTTTCGAACACAATTTAGTGGTCGTTTTAAACGTTTAGTTGCAAAGAAAACTCAAGAACCTCCTGCTATTCCACCTGAATTGAGGCCACAATTGAAGACAATTTATGTGTATTAAGAAATCTAAAAAAACAGAAAACAAGAAAAAATGCAAAATAAACTAAATTTAAAATTAACAAAAAAACAAACACTATATATAATGTATTTGTAATTCAATTATATATAATATTTATGCATATTATAAAATATAATTAAAAATATATATATATATATAAATAAAAAAAATAGAAACAAAAAAGTCTTAATTTAATATTATATAATTATATAATTAATAAAAATTTATATAAAAAATTTAATAAGCATATAAAAGATGAAATTATTTATAAAATTAATATTAAATAAAATTACAATATGTATATATTTATATATGTATATATATGAAAAACCAATGTATTATTCAGCATATAATTCCATCTTAAATTAATAAAAACAAAAAAAGAAAAATAAAATTAATAATATTTTTAAATTATAAGAGAATATTCAAATAAGTTAATATAAAAAAATATAAAACTGTTATAAATGATAAAAAAATATAAAATAATACTGTTATACTAGTAGAAATGAAAGTAAATAGAAAAATCAAAAATAATAAACAACAAAGAAAAAATTATTAAAAATCTCATTTTTATGATAGAAAATTTTTTGTAATATTTTTTTCTTCACTTTCTTCATTTTGAAACAAAAAAAAAAAAATTATTAATATTTTAATAGAATTAGATTTTATATTTTTTTTTGTCTTAAAATTTCTATTTAATTTACAAAAATTTATTTATTAATTTTAATTGTAAAACTAATAATTTATTATGAAAATTAAATTTTAATTTTAAAACAAAAATAAAATAAAAAGTTTTTTTGATTCTATTTTAATATATTCATATAATATTCATTTATATAACAGTATTATTAAAAGACAAAATCTTTTTCTATCAAAAATCTTTTTAAATAAAATATAATATAATTGATTTGTTTTCTATATATATGTATAATATTTTTTAAATTTTAATAACTGAAAAAAAAACAAAATTTAAATGAAATGAAAAAGATATTTTTTTTTCTATTTTTAAATATAATTATTTGTTTTTAAAATTTAGTTTCGTGTTGACTTTAAGTGTTAATTTATTTAAAATTTAAAATCAAAATTTATATTATATATGATGATATACTGTTATAAAACAACATATAAAATAATATTTAAAAAAAAAAACACAAGATATGAAAATCGAAAAAAGACTGAAAAATTGCAATAACAGGCAGATAAATTGTAAAAAAATCAAAAAAAAAAAAACAACAGATTGTATTCAAAATTGAAATTTTTTTAAAAATTAAAAACAGATTATTTTATTTAAAAAAAAAAACAAACAAACTTTTATATTACAAAATATCAAATATTTTTTTTCTAAATTATTAATTTGCTTTAATAAAACACCAATTTTATTTGTTTTTTAACCGTATCTTAACTATATAACAATTTTTATTTTTAAATAAAATCTCTTATAACTGCATAATTTTACGAAATAAAAAAAACTATAAATAAAATATTTAATATAGAAACGAACAAAGGTTATGAGAAGAATTTTATTAAAATTTTAATTAAGTTTAAAAACAAAGCAAAATTACCCTATCTTATGACAACGAATAAATTTTTATAAACACTTCAATTATAAATTTATTGATTTTTCTAATTTTATGACAAAATAAAATTAAAATCAATAAAAAAAAAATATTAAATTTTAAACTTAATTTTCAAATTTTATTTATTTTGACAAATTAAAGCAATATTAATAATTTAATAAATTAAAAAAAAAATTATTAAAAAGAAAATAATAAATTAGAAAAGAGAAAGTTTTGTTAAAAGAAAAAAAATATGAAATAAACAAATATAAAAATTTCAAATAAATAGAAAATACACAAAAAGTTACCAGAAAATGAAAAAAAAAATAAAAATAAAAAACATTCCAATTATAAATTTTTTTTATTAATTTTTCATTTTTTTCTTTGTTTTACATAACCTTCATTAACTTTTCTTTATTATTATTTTTTTTTAATGAATTTTTTTTTTGATATTTTGATAAAATAACAAGCAATTTTTCGAACAAACTCTAAAATATAAAATTTAATAAAAATATAAATAATCTGTTATAATTATGAAGAAAACGAAAATTATTTGATTTAAATTATTAAAATAAAATTAAAAATAAATTTTTTTTTTTGTATAAATATCAAAAAAACAAAAACAAAAGTCAACATTTTATTACAATGTGATTCACACACACCAACCACACATATACAAGTATATATATATATATATGTATATGTATATATTTCACATAAATTGTCACAATTGCTGAAGGCTTCATTTATTTAAATTATAAAAAAATTATTAATATATTGTAAAATGGTGTTAAAATAATATGAGTAAAAAAGAAAAAAATAAATTATAAAAAATTATAAAAAAAAATTACCAATATCACAAAAATTTTAATTTAATTGAAAAAAATAAAACAAATGAAAATCACAATAGAATTCTAAACAATAAACAGAAAAAAAAAAATGTATAGAAAAATAAAACATTAAAAATATAAAAAAAAAAAAATAAATTAAAAAAATTTTGTAATTCACTCACATTGAGTGGACGTTTTACTATTATACTTATTAATATTATTATATATTTGTATATTATGTAAAATTAATTAATATTATTATGAAAACAAAAAAAAAAAAATAAATAAAAATAAAATAAAAAATTAAAAAAAAATTAAAACCAAATTTTTTTTTTTCTATTTCAAATTATTTAATAAAGAAAGAAAGAAAGAAAGAAGTATTGTTCTTTTTGAGAAAAATGAAGAAATAAAGAAAAATTTTATACTCTCAGTTTTTGACACTTAATGTTTGACACTCAATTTTTGACTCTCATCTCAATAACATGTTATGACTAGCAAAAGTTACAAAATAACAATTAAAATAAAGAAAAAAAGATTTATTATTGGTGCTCTAGTTAAGTACAGAAAATCACTTGCTCTCAGTATGCGTTTCGAAAGTGCATATTTGTCATAACAAATTTTAGTACTAATGAGTTCAAACTTATTGTTAGTGTGCTTGTATAGCAATCTATCGCATAAGTACTGAATACTTTTCAAAAATTATAATATTAATATTGATAAGCAGTAATATTGTGAATTAAAAATAAAAAATATATTCACAATTTAGTAATACTTATCTATAGTGTTTTATGCAAATTATCAAATTAGTTCAAAAGTGAAATAGTTCTGTGTTTTAGAACATTCTATGTATTTTTAAAATTTATAAAATTAATATTTCTTTATTTTTCGCCGTGAAATAAAACAAAAACAAAAAGAAAACAATGAAAAATAACAAGAAAAGAAAGCAAAATTAATAGTTTAATTTTTAAGTCAATTGTAATCTAAGGATCAGAATACAAGAAAAACAAAAAAGAAAAAAATTTATAAAATAAAAAAGGAGATAAATTTTTTTTTTTGAAAATTAAAACTATTTTATTATTTTTTTTAATTTATTTTTAATTTAAAATTTTTTCAGTTCTAATTCATTCATTCATTTCAACACATTTATTACACACACATTTTAATAACATTCAAATGCAATGACATTTATTGGATCAGAGTAAGTGATAATGAAAATTAAATTATTTGTGCTACACCAAACTAGTATGCAAAAATTTTGAAATAAATGATTAACGGAGCATGTAGTGCCCGTTAAAATGCATTCCGTTTCTCTTATACTAACTAAATAGAGGTTTCAGCTGCTGATATTGCAAATTCATATTTTAAACATGTAATGAAGATCATTTTACACCCATTGAAAACCATAAATGAAAAGGCACATGAGTAGAAAACAACATTATATTTTTAAGAATGCGACTAACTAGAAGCAAATGTTCTTTATAATGAGAACGATTGTAGGTTCAACATGTTCAACATTAATTTTTGATTGCATTACAATTAACTTCTATATGAATTCTAAAATATTAAATTAAGGAATTAGAGGGGACAAGTTGTAATTCACAATGTACACAGAAATGTTTATAAATCTCACAAAACATGTAAAACGCAAATATTACAGCTTTTAAGTTATTTTTTCTTTGTCTGTTACATTTTTTTTTTATTTTTTTTTTCTGTAAATTTATCTTAAAACCGCATTATATATAATATTTTGTTTGTTTTTGTATATGACGCATGTAATTCCAACCTCTATTTTAAATATTTTCATTTTTTTTTAAATTTTATTTAATAATGAAGCTCTAACGATTTGAAAAACTTGTTTACATTTTAGCGCTTGACTTATTTTTTAATATTTAGGTAATTCGCCTTTTAATAATTTTTTATTAAATTTTTTTTGGTGACGTCAGGGTTTATACTAGAATTAAGTCAAGTAATTTGAAGAAAGCAAACTAGCTGTTGCATAAAGAATAAGACATTTTCATTCGAATATGACTTTATATAGTTATTAATATTTGTGTATTATTTGCACTAATTACAATACGTACATAATTTATAAGCTACTAAAGATGTATATGTATATTTCAGTAGTAAAGAATGTTGATACCTACATGACATTAAAATGCAATTTTAATTTTTTGCTTTTTGAATTCTTAATGTGGGTCAATGTTTTTATGTCACACTTTTATTAATAAAAATTTTCAATGTGCATATGGTATGTCTACTATATAAAGTAGGTACTTGAAAATTATTAAGCACAATATAGTGTTCTTTCAAAAAAATTTTAGATTAATTGTGATATCTCTAGATTTAATAATGAAGCTTATAAGTACCTAATAATTATTAATTAAGAGAAAACATTATCGAAAAATAAATTAAAGAACAAAATTATGTATAAAGTGTTACTAATTCCAAATACTACCTATAAATTTAATAAGAATTTGTGAAATATTATAAAGAACGAAAAGCAATTATTTTACAAACATTAATAAAATCATTAATATAATTTTAATATTAAAATATTTTGATTAATTTTTCAATTTAATTTTAAATAAAATTTTTTGTTGTTAATTTTATAATTTTGTACACTGTTTAGCTATGCAATATTATAAAAAAATAAATAAATTTCAAATTATGTTCAAAATTGCATATTTATAGGATGAATAGTTATTCAAAATAAAATTTAGATTTTGAAATTTTATCAGATTTTATGAAATTAAATGGGAAATTTTTATTATTATAATAAAATTTTCAATATTTTCTTTATACATAGTGTATGTAGATGTGCAGTATTAATAAATTTTATATTACATTATTGATCTATAGATTGCATTAATTTACATTGCCCCTGTTAATTTTGGTTAAGATATTAGTTATAATATTTGATTTTAACTCCTAATCAAAAAATTAATTTTTTAGGAATGTAGAAAAAAATGAAAATTAATTGAAACTATCACATAATTATTTTTTGTATTTAAAACTTCGAAAATTGTTATATAGGTGATAAGCAAAAAACACATGACGTGTGATGAGTACCTAACTGGCACTTTGTTTATAAAAAAAAATAAAAAATGCATAAGTCTATTTCACGTACTTATAAATCACTAGATATAAATTTTAAAATTCCAAAAAAAACAATGGGTTTATAACAATTGCTTTAATTAATTCAAAAATAAAGTGCAAAAATTGGGTTGACAAACATACGTAAATGCATAATGCTTAAATACAGTATTTAAGTACATTACACACCCATGTTCTATTTGTCATATCGCTTGGCCCATCGGGGGATTGTTGTTTAAAAATTTTGTAATCTTCTGCAACATATTGTGAATTGCGTCTTAAACTATTACGCATGTTCGTACTTCTATTCATAATATTATTACAAATATTCCAAAAAATGGAATCAAAATTCTTTAACTTAAATTAATAATATATGTAACATACATTTCACTCTAACGTATGTACATACTACATAATGTTATATCGTCGATCAAAATTAGAAAAGTGAAATGTGATTGAAATGTGTTTGTAGAAGTTTTAAATAACGCATTTAAATTTAATTTTAGAATTAGTCTTAACGGAGGGGCAGACATGTCAGAATTCAACTCAGAATTCGATACCGATCTCAAACTTACACTTATAAATCTATATCTTAAGTATTTATTTCTTAGCATTACAAACGGAGTGACAAATATAATATAATACCTTTATAATAATATAAACTTGAAAATATTAATTGCTTTCCAATAATAAACAAAGATGACAAAAAGTGATCTAGTGCTCTGATGATGAGCGACACAGCAAAATGTTGTTCGAATAAGCGTGTGTAGTATTGCATTAATATAGTACATGAATATTTCTTTTAAATTTTAGAAAACATTGTCAATAATATACTGCACCAGTAGTCATTGCTGTTATGTAACTTAGTTGTCATAACAATGCTAGAGCATTGATCACGCAAAATTTATAGTGAATTGTATGCAACCTTTTTTTTTATTTTCAGTATTTTTAAATATAGAATTGAATTTCCACATTAACACTACATTATTAGCAAATAATGTAAAAATATTAATAAAACGAAAAAATATGTAATAAAATTAAGAAAAATATTAAAAATTTAACTATTTTTAAAAATTCAATTTAAAAATAAAATTAAATTTTTTAATTATACTCTGAGTTTATTTTATAAATTTTATGTACTTGCATGTAGGCAAAAATCGTGTTTCATACTAAAATTTTTAATTTAAAAATTTCAATAGACAGGAAAATTTTTATACTTTTTTTTTTAATAAATTATTTTGAAACTCACATAACAATTTATGAATTCATCATAAATAAAAAGTGCATGTGAGATGAAAAAAAAAATAAATTTGGAAATTATTAAAAATTTTACTAAAAATAATAAACTAAAATTTTAAATTATTAAAACTATTAAAAGTGTTGTTTTATTTATTCATTTATGTTGGCATTAATGTTTTCGGGGAAGAAAGTTTAAAGAACAGTAGACGCTTGATAACTACATTAAAAAAAATTTTCATTAACATATTGTACAAGGTGTTTCATACTATTTTCTGCAACCATAATTTTATAAATGGGATTAAAATTGCAAACTGCAGGTCAGTCGTGAAACTGAAGGACAGGCAAAATTTCTTATAATATTCTTAAAATAACTTCATAGGATTTATAAATTTTTGTAAATTTTTGTAAATTTCAAAAGTTTAAAATTTTGAGCTCAAAACTTGTTAAACTTATGATTTTGATGGCAATGAATTTATATTTGGAAGCTCTTACCTGCAAGGTGTTTAAATTTAGTGTTGTCTGGTAAGCCGAGATATTATCGTGCCAAAACTTTAATCAGTATAACTTCGAAATTATTTAAGAATTTGAAAAATTTTTCAATTAAACTTGTAATCTAGTAGTGATTTTGTTATTTTTTGATTGTTAATTAAAAAAAAATTCTTCCTAACGAAATTTTCAAATATTATGCGTATTTTTTATATTACGTATATAGACTAATAGATTTCGGGTCAATTAAATTAAAAAATTCAAATAATATGGAAAGTCAACAAGGACCTGATGAAAGTATTATAAAAGAATACTTAAATAATAATCGGGATTTAATGAAATTTCAGCGAGACTATAAAAATATTTTAAATACAAAATTGCTAAATAGAAAAGAAACCGTATTTCAAAGAAGTCTACAAAATAATTTGGAATATTTGGATAAAGTAATATTTTTGAAATTATAATGTAAAATTAAAATTATTTTAATGCTCTTTAAGCTTTAAAACACATTCATTTATTGCAATATGATTTGGAGTCTTCCTCATACTCTTCTTCTATACGAGGAGCATTGTATTCTCTACTATAGTATAGTATATTATAATACTATGTAATTATAATACTCGCTCTACTATAGTACCCTCTTCACTTCAATTAATAGAACTTCTTTTATATAGGCAAAAGATGAATTAAAAACTAAATTGTATGTTGTAACTGGAACACCATTTTTACGTGATGACAAAAATTATATTAAATTATTAAAAAATCTTGTGGCTTGCCAAAATAAACTCACAACCGATAATGATTTACTAAAAAATGAAATATCTGTTTTAAAGAAGCAATTGCTAACAGTCGATAAAGAAATTGATGAATTGAAAACAAAAACTTTATCTGTTCAGGTTGATGAATCAAAAATACAAAAAAATTTAAATATTGTTCAAAATCAATTGGAAGTTCTTAAAATAAGGTTTAAAGTCTACCATAACGCATAAATTAACTTTATACGTTATTAAATTTTACACTTCTTTTTAGAGAATCAAAATATTTTGCCGAAAATGAACGCTATAGAAATCAAATTATCGACATGTTGTATAATAGAGCTCTTTTTAATAAATATTGGAAGAAAATTTTGAGTCGTCTAAATCATGATAAAAAATATTTAATTGATTTGATTGAAAATGCAATGCAATCATTTGATGGTGCCATCGATATTTATACAAAATTTAATAGTGTCCATAAGAAAGAAGCACGTGAAATGGAATTAAGGAAACAAGAAATGCAAGGGATTTTACAAAAAATAACACAAAATCAAAATAAACATGCTTTTTTTATGTGTAAAGCTAAAAGTAGAAATTTAGATGATTTAGAGCCACGAGAATATAAGAGACGTCATATTGTTCGAAAAATTCATCAGAATAAAAAGCATATTTATGAGAAAGTTCTTGAACGTGTTCTATCGTTCTCTGGTGTTGAAAGTATTGACCAAGTTATTGAAAATTTTAAAAAACAGCAATCACTTTACAATTCATATATAAATTATGCAAATGGTTTAACATACAATATGTCGAATCTTAATAGTTATATTGAAGAATTACGAAAAAATATTATAAATTTTAACGATTGCAACGTAAAACGTTTAAGTGAACAACAACAAATTATTAAAGTATTAAAATTACGTTTACAAAATGAAAAACAAAAGACTTCAGAAAAATATGAAAAACGTAAGAATATGGAAACGAAATTAGAAAATTTATTTTCTAATTTTTATACAATTTTCAATTTAATGAAATGTGATCCATCACCAATGGCATTAATTTTGGGTGATCATAGCAATATAACAATTTATAATGTTAAAACTTTCTTAAAAATCTTGGAGACACGAATTAATAATGTTTTAGCTTATTTATATCTTACAAAAAAAGGTAAAAATGTAATTGTCAAAGGTATAACAAGAGAATATACTGAACCAACACCGCTTGATGATATTATACCAGTGAATCAATGTCCAGAATGCGCTGAAAATGAAGATTTTAATATAACATATGGTGCAAAAATTGTAAAACCAATTGATGAAGCAAAAGCTATACAGAAATTAATTGAAAAAGTACCACAACCCGAAATGCAATTAAGATTACATAATCTTAGTCAATGTAAATTACCGAGATCAAAAATGTTGGCTAATAAAAAGTATTAACAATTTTATTCAAGCTGTGACTAAAATAAAATAAATATTTTTTAATTGCCGTTAAAAATTTAAGAAATTTTTGCATAAGGTTTTTTATTGTGAATTTAATTCTTTCGCATTGTTGAAATTCGCGTAAACGCAAACGATTTGAACCGAATTCACAATAATGAAAATAACCAAATTCTAATAGAATATAAATACAAATATTATGTGCATGTTGTTAGGTGGCGCACCATTTGAAAAAAATCTTACAACTTGTTAGTTGTAAATTTATCCAAACCACAAACCTAAAATAATTTTGTTGCTTTTAGCGACATCTCACATTTCACATATGCATTTATACAATTGAACTTATAAAATTCATGAACGATGGAATTTTTTGCCTAATTTTAGGATAAATTTAATTTTTTGAAAGGAAAGCGAAATATTTTTTTTGTTTTACATTTTTAATATTTTTAATGTTTTTATATTAGTAATTGACCATCATAATATTAAAAACTAAAGCAATCTAATCAGCCCTAAAATGAATTTCGCTCGTAGCTCGGAAATTTATAAAATTACGAATATCATATTGTCAAATACGAATTACTAAAATTAAAATTCTGCTCCGAATATTCGTAATGGGGTAATCACAATACTGAATCAGATTTAAGCCCCTCAAAAGTCTGCGAAAGAATTAATTACACGTAACAAGCATTTTAAAGAAACTGGTAGTATTAAACTTTCAAGTTTGTTTGAGTTTGAGTTGCTCTAACATTGCTACCATGAAGGAAATGATTGAAAAAAAATATTTTAAAAAATATCCTTTTGTATGAAAGTTGTTTGCTGAAATAGCAACTAGGAGTATAACTAAACATTTAATAGTTGAAAAAAAACACTGATTTTACCACTCCGAAAAATGATACTGCCATTAGTGATTAATAATCTCTACGAAAGAAATTTGTGATCATTTAAAGGTCTACGTCATAGTTAAGTTCGTAATTCGTAGGATTACAGTACGTAGGGAAATTATCAACATGCCATTTTCATCTAAAACCAATTCATGATAAAATTTTATTGGAAAATATTCTCCTTAACCAAGAACTAGTTTTTCTTGGTAATTATTATAAATTTTCTTTTATAAATAAAGACAAGAATTACAAGAATTTCAATTATACATTTCTCATATAAGTAGTTCACTTGTGAATCAAATCGCTCGAAATATCTTCACTAAATATTTTAGCGAACTATAACTAAGTAATCTACACGTATAAAGATTAAAATTTTAAATAAAAAAGGATATGTAAAACTCACAAAATCAAAAAAGAATAGCACAAACATTTTTTAAATACATTCCGCCATTTTGTACTCATTGAATATCTAGATATAATTCTGCCAGCAATTTAAATGAATTGCTAAAACGTGACGCGTTTTATGTTACAATATGGCAAATGTTATTTAAAGAAAGTGTGAAAGTGTGAATATTTGATGTACGTATGTATGTATATATGCATAACGAAATTAAGGATATACAAATAATAAAAATTTCTGTTAAATTTTCTATACCCAACCCCATTTTTCATGTTAAATAAACCCTAATAGAAAAGGAATTTATTGTCGCATAGGTTGGATGTATTTTATAAAATGAACACATAATTTTATATAATGTAGCTACATACGTTCATACATATATTGCGTAAATATATGTAAATATATTGTGTAATTAAATATTTATATTATTTGTATGTACTTGAGTATAAGAGTATGTTCGCGTATAACAGTATTATATTGTTTAATTTTGAATACTATGCAACATTATATATAAAATTCAACTGAATATATAAATTACAACTGTTATACAATTATTATAGAATAATTCTTCCTTCCCAAGTTTTCACTCTACTTTTTATGAAAGTAACAATATAAATGTTATATTTCCAAACAAAAAATTTACCCATCTTTTGATGCTCTTAACGATGGTATGTACTAAAGTTATCATGATTGGGTCACTCTGTATACATATATTTGGACATTACTATATCTTTTAAAGTAGGCTTTTCGGCACGTGTATGCGATTATATGTGCACTATAAATAGTAGAGATTTCAACACATAACTAAAGTTATATTGAATATTTTCATGGAAAAGGAAAACTAACACCTTCTAACTTTCATTTAAAATTTAAAAGGGAAATATTTTTATTTAAAAATTTATAAAATATCTTATGGTTTACAAAATTATAAAATATTTTTTTTGTATTATGTATAAGTGAGGTTACAGAACATTGTTATTATAATTGTTAACCAATAAAATTATTAAAATTTTAATATAATCGATTCCCAATGTAATATGGTTGAAATATATAGAAGAATTTTATAACACAGCGATGACAAAATTTATGATCTCTATTGAATGATTTGGCATATACACACCACTTACATAATAATATATTTACATTTGATTATTATACCAAGACATTATGCAGGACGTATCATTCTAGGATAAACTTTTATTATTAAAATCTTAAATTCTTAGAATATAAGGGAAAATGTATTATGATATAATTTTTTAATACACATACATACACATTATGTACATAGAATTTGGCAACTGTATAAGCATGAAAAACGCATTACACAACTTCTGTTTCATTCTGTGAATTTTAAGAGTATACACAAGTATGTATGTATGTATATGTATTTGTGTTAATACAATAAAATGATAAATGAAAGTTATTAATGAATAGCAGTTTTGAATCATTTTATTACGGATTAATAATTGTATTTACTAAAAATATATAGGGTTTTATAATTTTATAACCCTTAAGGGAATTTAACCCTTAAGGAAATATTTTTTTTCTTAAATAAAGATTTAGTTATTAAGAGTTTTCGTTCTTAAAATAGCATACTATATTTGCAAGATTATGTATGGGTATTATTGGACAATGTAAAAATATATTTAGTAAGATATGGTTTTATAAAATGAGAAGGGGATAAAATAAAAAAATTATTAGTAGTCAACTACTGCATTGTAGAAGCAAAGAAGTTGTTACGTTAATTTCGCATTCAATATGATTTCTAAGAATGTATACATAAGTATTTTATTGCATAAAATTGTAATAAAATGGTTGATAACGTTAATAAGAATTAATAAATCTTATATTCTAATAATTATTTGTACAATTATCCTGGAACAATAATAATTCTTAAAAAGTTGTTCAATTTCAAATTTCGTTTTTTGTAACAAGAAAATGTAGTTAAATGTTTTATTCCTCTACCTATATCTCAGATAGACTGAAGGGACAATATACAGGATGAATTTCTCATGTAGAGTTTAAAGCTACCTGAGTACTCAGCCTAAAGTAGGGGGGTTTAAAACTAAAATATCTAAGTTCAGGCGTTAAACAGTATGCAAAAATTTTAGCTAAGTTTTTTTTTGTTTACGCAGTCTACAAATTATGAATCTTCTAAATAACCAGTCGTTCAAAAATAACAGAAATGACATTGTTTTTGAAATTGTATCCCAATACTTTTCGCCTCCTAATTCACTGCAAAATAAGGAAATTTTAACGAGATTTGAAGAGTTACAGAAAACTTACTTTAATAACCCTTCAATATCTGAATCTGCTATTTTGAAATTTAAAATATTTTTTGAATCGACATGAAGCATCGACAAAATTTATACTAGAGGTCTGCATTACATTTCTAACATTTTTTTATTGCAGATTGAATTTCCGAACTCACTTTATTGCAGCCAGTAATTACCGAACGATCTATATTTTCAGTGTATGTAGCATGAATTTTCCAACGTACTACAAGCTAGAACTATTCTAGAACTGTAAATGAAATCAACTAAGTAAATTTAATGAAATTTTTAAGAGTGAGTGTCATACAAAATAGATTCTAATAGTTTAGTAATTCAAAAAAAAAAATTAAAATTCTTGCGAAAACGATTAGGATTTCATTGAATCCATTCCCATTATAAAAAATTCAAGTTCAATTCATATAGGTTTTGCTAAAAAACGTTTTACTATAATACCAGAATCTCAACCTTTGAATATTATTTGATAAAAACCACATTTTCTGAATAACTTACTGAATATTAAGTATTATGTACAGTAACTATTGAGAATAATAGAAGGCAAAATAATGTTTCCAAGTTTTTCATTTCAAATCCATAACACTTTACAAATTAATAATTAATAAACTAAACGAGAAATCTTAAAAATTTTCTAATGAATTCGCAATATAAATTATTTAATTTTTATTTCTATTGTTACTTTTCTTAAAATTTACAATATTTCCAAAAAAAAAAAGACAAAAAAAGGACAATTCATGAAGATGTCAAAGGATATAAAAAATGATTTAAAAATTTCTTAAGAAATTTTTTTCTTCAATTATTTTTTGATTAGTTTGATAATAAGATAATAAAAAAACAAAATTGACAAATCAATAATGAATAAGAAAAATAAAGAGCTCCTTACTTTATCATAAAAAACAACGAGTGTGCATCTTGATCTAAAGGATCTTTAACAAAGAGAAGAAGTTTATCAAATCTATTCTGTTTTATTTTTGTGTGTAAAACAAGACCAAGCCTCTTCGAATTTAATGTTTTTATTAATTTTTCTTTTATTTAATTTTTTTTTGAAACGAATCTATTATTTTTGCTTTTATAAAATTAATAAGGACTTTATTGTTCTTTTATTTATTGTCCTTATTGTTAAATAATATAATAGTGGTCAATTTTAACACATTTATAAATTGAAAATATTCTTCTTTAAATAGTTTTATATTTTTAAATTAAGATTTACGATTATGTTTTAATGATTTTTAGAAAATTTTCAAATTAATTTCAGTTTTATAATTTTATTAAAAATAGGGTTCCCATATGATTTTAAATTAGGAACAAAAATATACACAAATGAAATTCTGTAATTCAATCGTTGATTATAAAAGTAAATTAATTTTTCTATTGCTTTAATGATATAAATTTTTTTTTAACAACTTACTAAAGCATTTTGTTATTTTTGTA